TGTCTGCCTTGCACAAACCCCATCGCCCCCCAGCCAGCTCAGCTGTCTCATCCCACACCCCAACCCCTCCCCCCTCCCCCTCCCGCCCCCGTCCATCTCCCTCACTTCGGAAAGTCAGCAGACACCATGAGGAAGGGACTTTTCTTTCAGCCCACACGGAACTTTCACACTTGACACTGTTCTTAAATCCAGAAAAGCCTTGCGGGACTCCTGTCAGAAACCTCAGCGTGGCCTCTGGTGGGGGGGGTGCGTCTCGTGCCGCGTCAGCTGCCCCTCTGGGGAGATGTGCTGTGGGTCTCCTCCCTCCCGCCCCTCCACCTGGCTCTTGAGGAGTTTGCTCCGTCTTAGAGCAACCCCATAGCCTCTCCCGGGCTCATTTTCGTCCTTGTAGACACACGCCCCTCGATTCTGTGCAGAGGCGGGAGGCTGGAGTAACTCTGTCTGAAGAGAATGTGCACGTATTTGCAACTTGCCTGTATTCAGTGGAGATTTCTTCAGCAGACACTTGTGCTGTGCCTAACTGGAGCACAGGGCGGCATAAATGATAAAACCTGCAGGCTCACGGGATTGAAGAAACACGCCAAGCAGCACACACTGTGTTAAATGCCAAGTGGCGCTGTCAAGCCTGTCTTACTCCACAGCCTTGATTTTTCAGCTACACCCTATGCTCTGCAGTGAGTCCAACAAAATGCTTGTTTCCAGGCCTTTGGGAATGGGGACTCCCTGAGACCCAGTGGTCATCTGAAGATATGTTCATGTTCAGCAGAGCACTTGCTGGCAAAGGGCTTAGGCAACAAATGATAAATAAGTGAATGAACTCTCCACCACTGAGAAGGCTGGGAATGGCCCTGGTTTGTTGGCCTGGGCCAGGGGGGTCCTGGGGTGTCCTGGGGCTAGTGACAGACTGGCGGGCAAGGCCAGGTCCTGGGTCCACTGGAGGGTGGGGCTGGGTCCCTGCACAGCTCACCTCTCAGCTTAGGGGGTCCCAGAATTGGTGCCACCCAGCTGGTGGGAAGGTAAGTCCCTGTACTAGTAGGCTGGGAGGAGAACCCCAAAATGGTGCTGCCAGCACTGGTATCTTTGTGCTGGAACAATCTCCCAGAACTGGCTGCCGCCAGCATGTATGTCACCCAGAGGAATCCTGGTTACCTCCTGACCCTCCAGAAGGTTCTCCAAGATCAGCAAGGTGGTCTGACCCAGGGTTCTCTCATACTTTCCCTGCACTGGGTCCTGGCGCACGTGAGAGTTCTGCAGTGCCCTTTAAGAGGGAAGTCTCTGTTCCCCACAGCCCTCCAGCTCTCTGGCACACGATCCCCACTGGCCGTTCAAGCCAGATGTTCCAGGGCTTGTCTTCCCAGTGCAGGACCCCTGGGCTGGGGACCGTGTGTGGGGCTCAGACCCCTTGATCACCCCTTTCGGTGGTGATTATCCTCCCATTTCGGGGTCACCCACCCGGAGTGGGGGTCTTGGCTCTCCTTGTCTCCTTTTGGTTCCTTCTTTATATTTTCAGTTGTGGCAAATATTTTCTGCTAGTCTCTAGGTCATTCTCATCAAGGGTTGCTCTATAAAGAGTTGTGATTTTGGCGTGCCCGTAGGAGGAGGTGAGCTCGGGGTCTTCCCGCTCCGCCATCTGGCCACACCCCTCTGAAACTGGTAACTTCTGTTCATAAACCTTTAAAGTGCAAATAACAAGCTACCAACAGAGAAGGTGGATAAAGCCTTGTCATAATGTCATAAGCAGGATCTACAAAATTCAGCTGCATAAAATGCGTGATTGCATTTTTGCAAAAATTGTGAAAAAATATTTTGGAAAAAAAAATGTTTTCAATCAGCATTTCAGTTACTGTGTGGGAAAAAAATAGGGGAAATGGATTGATGAGTCGTGTAGGAAAGGCATTTAAATGCTGACCTAGAAAATCCCCAATGATCAAGAGACATGTTTCCAAATGCCATTCCTCTCTCAGCAGAGGAGAAGAAATTCAACCCACTCCTGTTTGCATGCCCAGCCAAAGTGGGAGAGATTGTTCAAGATGGAGAGGGGAAAAGAGCATTTTCAGACAACCTCAACTGAAAGAGTTTGCCATGACGCAGACCCTCGCCCACTTCAGAAAGAAGTAAAAGGATTCCAGGAGAGGGAGATCTGAATGCAAGAATGAATGAACCGACAAAAGCATAAACATATGGATAAATTTAAATAAAAAACCAATGGTGTAAAACAATGATAATTACGTTCCATTTGTGCGGTTAAAACAAGGGGTAGATGGCCGTCATCTCTCTGCATCTTCACATGGTCCTCCTTCCGTGCGTGTCTGTGTTCCCATCTCGTCTTCTTATCACGACACCATTCATGTTGGATTAGGGCCCGACCTAGATCTCATTTTACCTTAGTCACCTCTTTAAAGGCCCTGTCCCCAAACACAGTCACGTTCAGAGACCCTGGGGTTAGGGCTTCAACATATGACTTTGGGTGGACACAATTCCACGCCTCACACCAGGTTTCAGGCACTTTGTATACATGGTATTAAGTAATCCTCCAGCAACACTCAGGCAAACATTCCTTGCTCATTCGTCTATGATGAAACCGAGGCCCGAGGAGACTAGGTAACCCGGCCAAGGCCACACAGCTAGCAGTGGGCAAAGACGTGAGGCAAGCCAGCCCCCAGGCCTGTGGTCATTGCACCACATTGCCTGCTGAGACCGGGTGGCTATAAATCACGAAGGTAAGGCAGCCAAAGGGAGACGGCGGTATGCTGTGAGCTGGCACTAAAGATACTGCGCAGGGGTGGGTGGGTACAGCTCAGGGGTACAGTGCGTGCTCACCATGCACGAGGTCCTGGGTTCAATCCCCAGTACCTCCATTAAATTAATTAATTAATTAACCTACCTGCATCCCCCTAAAATAAAGAAATTAAATTGTACTAAAATAAAATAAGTATTCTTTAAAAAATGTTTTTAAATACTGCACGGAGGGTCACATGCTCCCATGTAGGCAGCCCCAAACCTTCTTCCCACTCCCCTGTCCGATGCCCTGTTGCGTCTCCTTTCGCCCTCGTTCAGCCTTTACACTCATCGCGCTTAACTTGATGGTGATTCGGCAGGAACTGAAGAGATTCCCTCTTCCCAGGAAGGAGGGAGCCTCTGTGGGAAAGGCGGTTCTCAAAGGAGCATAGAAGGCTGCTCAGAACCAGGAGTGGCCTGTCCCTGACTTAGGGCTGGCGTGGGAAGCCGCCTGGAGGCTGGAGCTGGAGTCAGAGGAAGGAGCCGGTGGAATTCGGCTGTGAGTAGGAAATGATGGCCATCCCCACTTCTTCCTCCAGAAGTCAATCCCAGTCTGGTCCAGAGTGGCTGAGCTCAGATCAGGGGTTCCCAAGTGTGGTGAGCTGAATTCTGTCCCCCACAAGTTGGTCTGTTACAGTCCTACCGCCCAGCATGTCAGCAAACGACCACATTTGGAAACAGGGTCTTTAAAGAGGTAATTTAGATTAAATGAGGTCATTAAGGTGGGCCCTAGGGGGAGGGTAGAGCTCAGTGGTAGAGCGTGTGCTCAGCATGCACGAGGCCCTGGGTTCAATCCCCAGCACCTCCATTACAGAAGTAAATAAACAAACCAACCCCCCAGGAAAAAAAAAGAATTAAGGTGGACCCTAATCCAATATGAATGGTGTCCTTATAAGAAGAGGAGATCAGGTCACAGACACACACAGAGGGACAACTGTGTGAGGACTCAGGGAGAAGACAGCCGTCTGCAGGCCAAGGAGAGAGGCCTCAGAAGGAGCCGGCCCTGCCGACCCCTTGATCTCAGACTTCCAGCCTCCAGAGTGGTGAGGAAACTGAATTCTGCTGTCGAAGCCCCGCCAGCCCGTGGCCCTTGGTTCTGACTGTCCAAGCAGACTGAGGCACCAGGAGGTAACGGGTTCCAGGCTGGTCCCCCTGGAGAAAGGCTGTCTCCCCGTCTTCCTAGTGTTGCCCCAGGATAATTCAAATCAGAGAGACGGGCCCACTCAGCATGGACCCTCCTCCGAGCCCCTGAGAACCAAGAACAAGGTGAGTCAGAGAGAAGATGAGACGGCTTAAATTTTCCAGCATCATGGGTGGGGGTTTTGCAACGGTAAGAGTAGAGAAGTGGGGAAAAGAAATGTTCAGTTAAAAAAAAAAACAGTCGAGGCAGGGGACAGATCCCTGAGCAAGCTCGGCCCTTGATGCCGTTGCCATTTTGAACTATCTCTTGAGTGGAATCTGTCAGCTGCTGCTTCTAGAAACTGCTGGTTTCCCAGGCAGCTCTGTGAACGAACGGGATTCGTGTTAACCAGCCTCCCCAAGTCTTTAGGAATTTAACCCAGGTCTTCTGATTTTCCAGCCCCTATTCTAGCAGCCAAGAGGCAGGCTGCTAGTCCTCACAGGCAATTAAAGGATTTATTACCTGAGCCTTCCAGAACCTTCCAAACAAATCTGTATCATCTTCTTCCCTAAAAGCTGGATCCATGTTCCGAGAGCTGGGGAACAGGTTTTCTTTCCAGGCCAGCTTGTCCATCTCAGCTGAGTGCACACACACACATTAAACCCTAATCCAGTGACGGTCTGCTCACCCGTGGGACAGGAAACTTCTAGATCTGCACAGCAGTTGCAAGTTGGAAACCCGAGGATGGAAGTGGCCTGTGTCATTTGTCACCGGAGTTCCACGGTCACGTTGCAGCCCCCGGCCTCTCTGCACCTCCCACTGGCAAGTCCTTGGACGTTGTGAGAGCCAGTTGAGGTGGACTCGGGGTGGCAGGGACCATGCTCCCCATGGATCGAGGCATCCATGCCAAACTTGTCAGGCAGAGCTGGGCTAGATCCCAGGCCCCATGGCCCCTCTGTGGGCAGCTTGTGCAGGCGGGACCTTGAATCACACCATCACAAAGGTAACAGCATGTGAAGTGTGACACGGGGGGCCAAGCTACTTGTGCTGTGATTCCAAAGCAAGGAGAAGGGCTCACAGGAGAAGGTCAACGTCTGCAACCCTGAGCACCCCCGCCCCCCTGGAGGATGTAACAAGTCGGCTGGTTGAGAGACAGGATTTTGAGAAGAGGGCTTTCAGAGAGAAGTGTCTTTGGAGAATGCTGTGCTTCCTGAAGGGCAGGTGGGGGGTTGCCTGCCCCACAAACATTTTGGGGTTTCCACCAAGCTACTTGGAGAGCTTACCACGTGACTCCCTCCAGCTGAGGGCAGGAAGGGCTGGGGCCTGTTCCCAGCCAGGAAGCCCAGGGCGGGAGGGTGGGCTGAATAAATGCCCCACAGATGCCAGGTCCAGTCCCTGGAAACTAAATGTGACCTCATTCAGAAAGAGCCTCTGTCGGCGTGATTACGTTCAAGATCTTGGGAGGCGGAGGTTAGCCTGTATTATCCAGATGAGCCTGAAATACAGTTACATGTTTGCCTGTAAGAAGGAGGCAGAGGGAGATGTAACCACACAGAGGAGGAGGCGATGTGACCAGAGAGGCAGAGATTGGAGGGACAGGGCCAGGAGCCGAGGAACGCTGGCAGCAACCAGCAGCCCGAGAGAGGCACAGAGCAAATTCTCCCGCAGCGCCGCGGGAGTGAGCTCAGCCTTCCTGACACGGGGTGTCAGCCCAGGAAACTGACTTCAGGCGTCTGTCCTCTGAACTGCCCAAGAGTCCGTTTCTTTGCTTTTAAGCCATCGAGTCGGTGGTAATGTGTTGCAGCCTCCACCAGGAACTGATTAAGACGCAGGGTGACTCCTGCTTTTGTGGTGGGGCCAGAAGCAAGCACCTGAATCGGGGTCACCCTCCCTCGAGGGGTGTGTCAGGGCAAGTGACCCATGAGGGTTAGAGCTAGACGTGGACCACGATGGGAGGGAGCCGTTACGGTCTCTTCCACGCTCACCATCTCTGCCTGGAGGGGCAGAGACCCCAGCAGCAAGAGGCTGGAGGTAAACCCTAAGGAGGAAAGAGGAAGGAGCTACAAGTGACCACCAAGGAAAGGAACACCTCCCCTGCCCCAAGTCAGAGACGTACAGAGCCTCAGAAGGGCCCCCCAGAAGAAAGTTCAGTTGAAACCTCAGTCAGCTCCCACCGCACCCACTCAAGTAAGAGCTCACCTGGCCTTCCCCTCCCCGAGCACCTCAGCATCCTCCTTGGGGGTAGGGGAGCCAGTGTGAGCACAGGGGTCCAGCACAGAAGCCCCCTTTCCCACGCAGGCTTCCAGCCCCAGGCAAGCTGAGCTGGACGCGGGGGGAGAATCAGATGTCCAAGTTGAGAGTTTTGACTAATACCTTGGCCTGCACATTCAAATTCCAAATTTGAGACTGTTTTCCATTGGAAGTGACCTCAGGACAGACTGTTTCCTAAGAGGAGCAGAGAAGCCAGCTCCTGCCAGGGCCTTTCATCCCGGGCCAGGGAACATGAGCCCCGCAGAACACACGCTTAAAGGGGCAGCAGGAAACCAAAGCTGGAGTTGCCTCCCCAGCACACGGCCGGCCAGGCTTGTCCCACACGCCAGCTGCCAGGGCCGGGGAAAACATGTCAGCCGAGAGTCGCCGAGCTCCCCGTGAAAGGAAAAAATGCAAATTCGTTTTCGGTATCACTTTTACGCTTCCTGAGTGGAGTCCTTGGCCCGGACCGGCTCCCGGTGACGTCAGCCGGCGTTCACCGTATCGGAGCAGCTGTCCGCTTCCTCCCCCGGCCTTGGCCCCTGGTGCAGAAAACACCCTGGTTTTGTTTCATGGAAGATTAAAAACATTTGCTCCTGCGTCCATAATTCACAGCCCCTGTTATCACTGGGACTAGGAATACTGAACCAGAAACGCTTAGTCCCTTCTCAAAACCAAAGGGAAATCCACAGAGGGAGGCCAGACACAGGATTAAGCGTCAGCTGGGACCCGGCCCAGACCCGGCTCACTGTATCCTTTCCTTTTCTCCTGGAACAAGAGGCGATGGGTCCACACCACACCCCTGGGGCTCTTAGACACGGTGAACCACGATCGTATGCCCGAAACTGTTTTGTCTTCACCCGCAGTGAAGGAGGCAGGGTGGGGGCTACACAGCCCAGGATGAACGCCCCTGGCTTCACAGCAAAGTAGCAGCCAACTGAGATGAGAAACAAGGTCACTGGCTCCTCCTGGCCGTCACGTGGCCCGCCCTGAACCTGTGCCAGGACCCTGACTCTGCCTGGGACCTCCTGGTCCCTTCCCGCATCCAGGAGGAGAATGCTCCCGCAGCACAGAAATCCTGATGGGATGGGTCGATTTCCAAGCTGAGAGACAGTTCCACACTCTTCTGTCATGCTGCCCAGACACACACATCCGAGCGTCCATTAAAATGCAAGACAACAGAAGCCAGTAGATCCTTTATCCCTTTCATTTGTTTAGTTGTCGCAGAAAAGGATGATCTTCCCTGAGTCAGGGGAGAGAAGGGATGTGAGAGAAGGAAGCGGGGCCTGGGGCAGGGCTGGGTGCTCCGTCACACCTCCCTGTGGTCCTCTGACCCCCCAGCAGGGAACTGAAAGCATGTGGGTGTGCCCCAGGTAACCCCCCACTCCGCCATTCCTCTGAAGGCAGAGCCAGCAGAGACCCGAGTTTGAATCCTCCTCCCGCCATCACTAGTTCTGGACACAGCAGTGTCTATCCGAGCCCCGTGCCAGGCCCAGCCGATGCTTGAGGTCCAGCTGCCGCCGCCTTCCCTCTAAGCTCTCCCAGGGCCCTGCCCTGCACTTCCCACCCCGAAGCTGGGTGGGACCCCTCGTCTGAGATCACCTTCCTAATCTCGGCTGGCTGCGGTGTGTCCCACTTGGCTGTGAGCCTCGGCGGGTGGGGACCGAGCCCAGTCTACACCCCAGCAGCCACCACATCACATGCAAGGTGCAGTGTGCCAACCGCAGAGCGAGAGTGGAGAAGTCACTGTTGTTGCTGTCACCATTGCCGTTTATCAGTGAGGGATGGTGGTCCCCCACGTTTCCCCTTTCTGGAGTCGGAGGAAACCCGCAGGTGGCGTGCGTTCGCACCACGGCTCTCTGCGCCGTCTGCTTGGAGTGGGGGCCTTCTCCGGAGGAAGGCAGACTGCGAAAGGAGTTGTTTTGTCCTTGTCACTTTTAATCCATCTTTTATTCACAGCTGCAAACCTCTACTCAATTATGGATGAAACATAAGGACCTTCCTAAATGCTAGTAAAGGAGTGGATACCAAGTGACCAAAGTAAAACATCTAAACGCCAGGTGAGACCCAGGCCCAGGCTGTCCGCTGCACACAGTCCACACAGAGGCAGGGAGATGGTGAGAGCCAGGAAGGGGTTCCGGGGAGCTTCTGTCTCCCCAGATTGCTAAATGCTATTGAAATAACATGGGCAGAGCGATGAGAGGAGGTTCAAGGCCGGTGTGATACAGTCCAGATGCCTTCATTCCCTCAGCTAACGTTTCCTGAGTCACTTCAAGTGTCAGGTCACAGCCGCACGTGGAGGGGCTCGTTGTCTCCCAGGCGCCCCCGGCCTCCGGAGCCAGACACCACCACGCCAGGCTGAGCCCAGCTCTCCAGCCAGGTCTGCAGCGGGAACAGAAAAGGGGCAGTGCACGGATCCCAGTGGGAACTGCTCAACTTGGACTCCAGGCAGGCCTGGACCAAGTCCTGGGTCCGAGCCCGATTAGCGCTGGGACCTCATGGCCAGGCTGCTTAACCCTCTCAGCCCACCTCATACGGTTGTCATAAAACAATAAATAGAACCACCAGCCAGGGGCCTGCCTAGTCCGGGGCGCGAAGAAGCCTGCAACGCAGGCTCTCATTCCTACTAGCTCGTCTGACAAAGTCAGAGAAACCTGCACAGAGGAGGTGAGGTTTTAGGTGCATCATGAAGGAGGACTGGGGACTTGGTGAAAAGGCAACGTCATTCACGGAGGCGCCAACGTGTAAACGCGCGGCAGTGCTGGTATCTTTGTGAATGACGTCTCCCCTTACATGTGGAATATAAGAAAATGACACAAATGAGCCTGTTTACAGAACAGAGACAGACTCACAGACATAGGGAACAAACTCACCACTACCAAAGAGGAAAGAGAGGGGAGGGATACATTAGGAGTCTGGGGTTAGCAGGTAGAAACTACTGCATAGAAACAAACAACACGGTCTTACGCAGAGCACAGGGAACTACATTCAATAGCTTGTAACAACCTATAATGAAAAAGAATATATATATATATACACATGTAACTAAATCACTATGCTACACACCAGAAACCAGCACGACCTTGGAAATCAATTATACTTCAGTTAAAAAAAGAGACACCAACATGTGTGTAAAGTTGCACAGCACGTTTGGAAACCAGCAAGGAGCTCAAAGCTGCTGGCCTGAGACACTCAGAGGAGGGAAGAGCTGGACAAGCGGGTGCGATCCGTGCTTTGGCCTGTGGGCATTTGGTCGAAGGACACTGGGCCTGGGGCTGGAATAACCGAGTTCCACCCCCCGCACTGCGGGTGGTGAGATCTCTGGGCATCCGCTCCCCTTCTGCTAAGCGGGGACACAGACACCCAACAGGGGGGCTCTCTAGTGGTTTACATCTGGGGGCAGAAAGCTTTCTCGAAAGAGCCAGATGGTAAATGTTTTAGGATCAGCAGGCTGTACGGTTTCTGTTGCAGCCACTCAACCCCACCCTTGTAGCATGGGAGCATCATAGACGGTATTTACAGGAGCGAGCATAGTTATGTCCCAATAAAACTTTATTTATAAAAACGGGCGGTGGGCAGGCTGTAATTTGCCCACCCCTGCTTCAGGTTAGAAACCCCCTAGCACCTGCCCCCGCCCTTTCCACGTGCCAGCTCCGGGCACTGTTCCCAGATCCTCATCCCCTGTCCAGCGGTTCCCAGATGTTCCTAAGTTATCTGAAGACTACAGCAAGCTGCCCCCATCCAAGCTTTAGAGACTGCCAGGCATAAAGATGATGTTTGTTCAACAGAGCGAGGACGGCTTTGCCAGGCGCTGAGTGTTTCCGTAATCAATCCATCAGTCCGTCAGAGGGAATCATTCAGCACCTGGTGCCGGGACGCTGACAGCCCTGAGGCTGGGGCCTCGGGAGGAGCGCGTGGTGGGTGAGAAAGTCCCACAGCCCTGTTGCCCGAGTTCTACTCGCAGTTTTACACAGTCTTAGTTGTGCGCAATCCTTGAGGGTCACATTTTCCATTTCTTAATCTGGATAAGGAAGAAATTCAGCCAAATGGCAGTGTGATTCCGGAGGTGCATCAGAGGGCTTCGGGGTGGGTGGGGGGCTTCCTGGAGCCATAGTTGAAGTCATGCGGGTGGACTGGCCTTCAGGGGTCAAGCTGGCATTCCTTGGGGGAGGGACAGCGTGGGCCATGGCAGAAGGGGGCAACCAGCGCCCCATGCATGGGCATCACTTCAGAGAGGGAGATGCAATAACATGGGAGAAATGGGTGGAGCCAGTGCATTGACGACTCTTGAGATTTTTGCTGTCACTGCAAGAAGGAGACTTTCTGTATATGGTATAGATCAGGAGTCAAGCGTTCAGTGCCTGCAGGGGCTGGACAGGCAGCGAGTAAGTGGCATGGATGTCTCCACAGGCAGCCAGGGGGACAGGGCATGCCATGCCTGCGAGGGACACTGGAACTCAGCCCCAGATGACTGCTGCCAGGTGGTTTTTTCTAGGGGAAAGGTAATTAGGTTTACTTGCTTAT